AGAGAGTTTGTGCTTTATAAAACATTAATTGTTTGTGCACTTTTAACTTAGTGCATTCAAACAGATGAGCAACCCTCCCTCCCACACCTGTTTAGTTTGGTACACCTTTGGGTTGTATATCTGTTTAAAGTGGTGGTTGAAAAAACTCTTTTGCCAGGGTATAGATAATTTTAAGCAAGGTAATTTATATTACCTCCCTGAAATTAATTATATTGCCAAGCAATTGTTTCTTGCCTTTTATTTAAATGTGTGATTGTTTTTGCCTTTTATTTCTATAAGAGTAGCATTGAGAGGTACTAGCCTAGAGCTGGGGGATCCACTGTAGAGGCATGCTTGTGTGTGCATGCTGTTTGTTTTTTTCAGAGACCAAAAAAAAAATTTATTGGACAAAACAGCTTGCAGTCTAAGAAGCAGACATACAAATAAGTTACTGTCAGGTAGAGGCTGCGGCCTTATCCTTTGCAGCATTCTCTTACGCTATGATAAGTGGAGGCTAACCCATGGTAGCTTACTCCCCTTTCACTGATGGGTTTAGATTCCACTTACTGTGTGGGTAAGAGAGCATGAACATGAACAGTTTGTTGCATCAGGAACACCTGATACATGGTGAAATTCCCAACTGCTTCCACAGTGAGTCAACTGTATGTCCATACCCAAATTAACCAGTTGGGTGTCTTGGCATTGACAGTGTGTGTTCTGTTAGCCAGCTGTTGTGTCTGTAGGTGTGACATAATCAAAGGCAAGATTGAGCACTCGGTGTATTTTCTACAATGTGCTTCCCAGGTAGTAATTTCTACAAAACTTTATTTTAAACTTTTGGATGGAGTATTTTTGCCATATGAATCAAGCCCTAGTAATTTTCACTTATTTACTAGGGAGTTTCCAGTTGCTACTTATGTTGTCTTTTTTCAGCAAGACACACACCACTCTGTTCCACTCTATTCCACTCTAAAACCCAACTTATACTAGTGCTGAGTTCAGATCTGACCTTATTGCTTAAATAAGACAGAATTCTGCATGTTGTAAGGCATGGGTGGGTGTATGATAGGCTTCATGCTAAGCCATAGATTTATGCAAACTAAATGTGGCAAAATATAACACTATTAGTGTATTAACAGCTAGCAATGCATGGCCCATATATAATGGGCTTCTGGAATTTCTGTGCAGTACTTTGGCTTGTATTTCAAATGTAATTAATCTGATATGGACATCCTTTAACATGAGGTAAGAAAGGATGATCCCTGCAGTAATGGAAGAAAGCTTGAAAATAATTGGATTTGTTCTTTGTTTGGGCTGAGTCTTAAAAACCTTGTAGGATCATACAGTGCTGACAGATGTGGAGGGGGGGAAGTGCTCTACTGGAAGCAGCAGTGCATTACGTCAACCTTCAGCAGTGCTCCTCAGCATCTGTATAGACTGCACGCTTCAGCTGGGGCTTTTTGACATTTTTAGCTAAAGCTGATTCAATCAGCTACTAGATAAGAGCCAAAAAAGCCCCACTAAAGTGCCTGATCTCTACAGACATTGGGAAAGCCGGGTACAACTAATGTGCTGCCTCTTCTGAGCATGCGCTGGGCTTGGTGCGGGAGCGTGCCACCTTGAAAGTAAAGCATTGGGTCCCTCCCCCTTTACCTCCCCCCCATGTCTGCAAGCAGCCATAAAGTCTAATCTGTGTGCTCTCTCATGGAATCCCTTTCTAAAGTCCAGGTGGGTAGGGCATCCTGCAAGTATAGTGGCAATCATATGCACTGCTATGACTCAAGCTAGTTTCTTTGCTTGTGACTTGGGATCTGGGTCCACCACAGTTGCTGCATGCTCCTTATGGCAACGGGTGATTGCACATCAGCAGTTGAGTTCAGGACTCAAAAGACCAGCAACTCTTTCAGCTCTGGCTGGAGGATTCCAAAAAATATTTGTTCTCCTGCTGAGGAATAACAGGGACTCCTTGGAATTTGGCTGGCTTTGCAGAAAACAGCATAGTTGACCAGGCAGTTGATTCACAGATAAACACCTGGATTGCATACTTTACCTCCAAGATTTGCCATCACTTCTTGATTACAACTAATAAATAAATATTCTATCACATTGGTCATTAGTATCTCCAGTGGCTGAGATTCCTGAAAGGTAGAGTCTCATCCATAACAGCACTTATTGTTTATATAGCAGGTATATATGAGGCTATAAAATTTCCTTGTCCTAAAAATGATTAATCCAAAAGGGCTGAAAAAATATGACTAACTTTGTAATTAGCTGTGTCTGTTAGAACTTTCTAGCTCTCTAACTTTTTACATGATTCATCTTTCTCAGGAGACCTGAAATGATGGGCTTGCTGTCTCTGTGGGATATGGTGCGGCTGGTGGATGGGCTTGCTGTCTCTGTGGGATATGGTGGGGGTGGGGAATATGTTAATTGTGTTCAGATTCCTGCGGATTATACCTAATATGAAGGTGCTTATGTCTTGCTTTCCCCTTCCTCACCTCCTAGTTCCATAATTCTGAACTAATCAAACTTATAAATCATCATAGGTTTCTCAAAGTGGTATGTAGTTGTTTGCAAACTAGGTGTATATGAATTGGATTTATAATCCACAAGTTCCTGGCTCTGTCTGTTTTAGGTAACACCTCTCTTTCTGGTTTTTTCTTTTCCTTCAGCTGTGGCCATGCAGCATGGAAGCTTGGATAGTGTCACTGCAGTTGACCCAGCTCTCAAATTGTGTTGTATGCACATCTAGATGCACTGGGCCAATTTTATAGTGTTTCCAGAGTTTACAGAGAAGGGAGGACATTTTTGGGTTACAGCAAGCAAATAATCCCACCCAAGTTTTCCCCCTCCCTTCTAGATTCTTGCATCTAGCGCTGCCCTAACCAATTGTGTTAGGAGCTGTAGTAGGGTTTACACAGGCAGAGTTGCAATAACATGCTTATGTTAATGGAAAGTCTTCAAAACGCTTAAAATCTTATTTTTTCCTTACACTTTTCCCCTGACTGAAATGGACGAATGGGACTACATTGCAAATGAGGAATTCTAATAGTTTTAAGGTGCTTTACTGGTTTCCTCATCCAATATTGCCAAAAGTTTGTTGTGCATCTACTTTGAATGAGACAGCAGCTTTCACTTGTGGGCTAGATCCAGCCTGAACCTGGATGAACACAAGGAAAATGCTGGTACATTACCCTGTAACTCAAATTACTTGAGTACTTCTCTAAATTCTAATGCCCAGGCTTACTTTTGATTTAAACCATGAGCCACGTGTTACCACAGATGCAAAGAGTTGGTTGTGTGCTTGGAAATATTTCCTTTAAATCCACCAGTATTGCTTATCTATCTTGAGTGATTCCTGAATTAATCATTAAAACTAACACAACATTGCTGAAAGTGAAGTCCTTTTAATTGTCTAAGATTGTGGATCAGTTGAAAGTCTTGTCCTGGGCAACAGAGGCTAGCTAACAAATAAGCAACACACAAGCAAAATTAGCCAGCACTGCAATTGCACCTGGAGAGTATGGAGCTCTGCATAGTGGTGAGGGGTTTGCTTAACTAACAGGTCAGCCAAGGAACAATGTAGCCTAGCTTTCTGCATGTCTGGCTCCTATAGGGTTCTCAGTGAGCATCAGACTGAAGACTGCACCTGGAAAGAAAGCAGGCGTGGTTAATTCTAAGAGACTTAACCCCATTCAGATTTAGGTGAGGCCTCTCTGGCTCCCTATATTGGAGGTCCCTGGGGTCTTTGCATGACAACAGCTGTGGAGTCTACTTTGTGTTTAATAAAACATAGATGTCTTGATGTCATGCAGAGGTCACATGGTCAGGGTTAAGTACCAATGGGAAATTGAGGGAGTGTGGTCAGGTTCAAACACAGGATCAAGAGTCAATAACTGGGTTGTATTCCTGGCTCATCTACTATTGTGATCTGACTTTGAGTAAGGCATGTCAGTTCCTCAGTGTCCTCATTTGTAATTTCGACATCCACTTTAGAGAGTGGGTAAGGCTTTATTCATTAATTATATACAGCACAATGAGATCCATGACATGAAAAGGTGCTGTTGAGGTTCAAGGTATTTAACTATTTTGTTTTTTTAACTTGCTATCTATCATGTTTATATCAGTTTGGTGACAGTAGTTACTGGGACTTAAATATATGATAAATGTTAATGAGAATTCTGTTTTGTTTCAGTTCATGGCTTTGGTTGTCAGTACGTTGCTGGATCTGGTGAAGAACTTAAGAGCATTTGCAGGGATCCTGTTGGTATGTTGCAGTTCAAGACTGGTAGTCTCACTCTATAGCATGATTTGGGGTACATTTTCAAAGTTTGATTGTGCGGGAAAAAAAATACACCCACAGCCTGCACATCATGACTATAAAAGGAACATGATCAGTTTCTTTTCTCTTTTGAAATGATTAATGTTCACCCTGTCCCCTCATAGTACAAGCCTTTCCCAGCCTTGACCAGCTAGTTCAGGGGCAGGCAATTATTTTGGGTGGAGGGCTGCTTACCGAGTTTTGGCAAGCTGTCAAGGGTTGCATGGGTAGCCCCACCCCTTGACAGGTGCCTCACCCCCTGGCTACCATCTTGTGACTGGAAGCCCCACCCCCTAACGCCTGACTTTTGCCACCAGAAGTCCCTCCCCTCACCCCTGGAAGTACTCCTTTCAGCAAGGGGTTTTGCCATGTCGGAATCAGAAAAATACCAAATTATATTCTAAAAATCAAACATCTACAGCATTTCATTAATTTGATTTCAAAAAGTATTTTTGTCCTGATTTACGTGTGTTTGTGTAGTATACATAGAGGTGATCGCACAATAGCTTAAAATGAAGTCTTACTCTTGTATCCTGTGGAGGGGATGGGGGTGTGAGGTTATGTGGATGACGGTGTGGATGTGTTGGGGGGGGGGGGGGGTGGGGGGGGGGGGGGGGGGGGGTTGGGATTGGATAGGTGTGGGTGTGGGGTGAGGGAGCATGTGGGTGTGTGGATGTGTGCATGGGTATGGGGTTTGTGGGAGTGTGGGTGTGGGGGTCTGTGTGCATGGCAGTACAAGGTGGGTGTGGTTGCACGTGTATGGTGCGGGATGTTTGTGGGACTTACCCTACGAACACACTCATGATCTCCCTCCCTCATTGTGTGCACACTGTGCTTTGCTCACCATGCTCTCTCTCTCTCTCTCTCTCTCTCTCTGACTTCCACTCCTGGCCCTGGGGTACTGGTGCGGCCCTGTGCTTCCTCCATCCAGCAGTGCAGCTGGAGGCCACATGGTGGTGGAGCAGACATGTGCAGGAAAAGCTGCTATAGACGGGCTTCTGGGTAGGGGTGCGGAGCCAGGCTGGCCTTTCTCCTGACTCCTGCAGGCTCCCTCTGGGTCCTTCTGCTCCTGCCTCCTGTCATCCTTGACAGGCAGCTGGGAGGAGATAAATATACATTTTGGAAACTTCTTAGGGGCCCTGTGGGCTGGATAGAATGGCCTATCGGACCGAATGCAGCCCACGGGCCATATTTTGCCTGCCCCTGAGCTAGTTCATTAGAGCTGGAATTAGCAGCAATGCTTATAGTTAGTTTTGCCTGGTGCTTTCCACTTACAAAATTCTGTTTCACTTGATCATAATGTTGACTCAAGGACTTCAACCTTCTGGAGCTGAGATTTTCCGTTCCCTTCCTTATGCTGTCTTTTTTTATTCCGTCATAAAGTTTTAGCTGAACAGTTCAGCTGCTTTCAACCATTCCCCACCATGGTTCAGAATAAGGATTTGAAGTTTGATAGCCTGTTGAGGATACACCTGATGGATGGAAGCACATCCCCAAATAAAAATACTGGATGGAGATGCATTTAAAAAACTCATAGTGTGTACGCAGAAGGTGGCTTGAAGTCCGTACAGGAAGTCTTAATTTTGCCACTTCCTGATTTTTAAACCTTTTAGTTTGTCTTAAATGTAACTTACGCTATGGTACTGCCCACAAATCCTGTTCAGGAATCTGCTGTATTAAGTTTGGTCAGAAAAGTAGTAGTACAAAGTACAAATGTATTTACCTTGATCCTCGTTCAAACATATGCCCCTAGTTACTGGGCAATGCTGTTATTGTCAGTCCTACTTGAAGGAGGCTTTTAAATTTTTTGATGAAGTTAACATATGTACCATTATTGTACAGTATAATTTAATACCTTCTTGTATTAGAACTGAGAAATTTAATCATAAATACTTTAGGGGTGCACTTGTTAATTAAGCAGGCCTTTTAGACTGAAAAGACCTGAATATATTAAATCCTGAGGGTGAAATAATTGCTAATTTGCTATAAAACACCATTTCAAACTGTTATGCAACTGTACTGTTAGGATATCTAACAACAGCAGTAAAATGTGTTGATCTCCAACGTATGGGAAGGTAGATAACTAAAGCTGTCTAGTTATACTTTCAAGCCCTATCTCTGTGGTTTCCCTGAAAATGCTCCTCTGTTTGCAAGTTTCCAGTGATATGGCCTGCCCGAAGGCCTTGTCAGCACAAGGAGTATGTATTGTTACGTGTCATACTTAAGTATTCCTAGTGCAGATTCTGCAGTGCCACCAAAGCTTTGTTTGCACCAGTAATGTTCCCTTGCATGAGGGGAAATAAGCCAGGTTGGTAAAAGTGCTGTCATCTACCCTGGACACTTCTGCTGGTATGTTTTTGTTGGTCAAGGAGTTTACCCCTGACCAGCATAGGTAAGTTGGCAGAAGTCCATAGTGCAGACCTAGCCTAAGCTTAGCTCTAGGAATGGATGTTTTTTGTCTCCCGGCACTAGTATTGGGACCCACAACCTGAGACCTGAAGAGGAATCCTTTATTCTGTCTGTATTTAAAATGTTGTAGCTGAGGTGTATGGTTTGGTATTCTTTATCCACATCCTGGCATTAAAAATACCAATGTAGCACCAGTTGTGAAATTAGTGTCTGCCCCAAGGAGCTTAGTTTTAAGGATGTGACCTTTTGAGGTGGGGTCTAGCTTCTAGTCTTGTTGATTTGAAATTATTTCAGTTTGAGCTCTTAGCATGATGAGGCCTTGTCTTAACAGCTGACTTGAAATGCCTTCTTTCCCCAGTATCTGCCACACACTACTAAAGTCATGTTAATTAATGATAGGACAGTTTCTCCTGTGTCTGTCTTGTATTTTAGATTTAGTTTACATATAGGAATAATGTTGGTTCTTATTAATAATAAGACACATGCCCCATCTGCTGGCAGGCTGTGGAACAGCAGCATCACTTGATTTAACCAATATAAAAGCCTGTAGTACAGATGATAATATTCTTTCTTGGCTCCCTTTGTTAATAATACAAAAAGATGTGAATAGAAACTAATCCTGACACCTCCGTTGCTTTGTTTCAGTGCTTCTTAGTAATAAGTGAAGCTTTCTTTAGTGTGAATTAGGATTTTTTTATGCATTGACAGATCTGTGGAGATTGTTTTAAAAACAAATCTCTGATTTTTTGGGGGACTAAAATTGGCAAAAGCCCCTAAGCACTTGAAGGGTTTAGATCCCTAAATCCTTTTGATTATGACTCATCTCCCAGGTGACTTTTTTGGACCATGGCTATGCTCACATTTTAGTGTTGCCCTCGGTCATCAACAACCAGTCCAATCCATTTCAATTGCCATTTCTCCATGTGTATTTTATTTTAGTTCTTGTCAAAGCTATTTACATTGCAATGCTTGCTTGTTTCTTGAGTGCTGCATTCACAAAATGTCTAAGGTTCCTTTGCAATATGCAAAACAGGGTCCTTTTAAGAATCAGTCTAGACTGTTTTTCTTTCTTCTGGGCAGTAGAATGGGGCTGGGGAAATTCAGGGAAGCCTGAAGTTAGAAATGTGGTATTACTGCAGGTAAACTTCCTGTCCTGAAGGCATGCAACATGTGGGTGAGTTACAGACACTATGGAAAGGGGATGCCCTAAAGGTCAGAGAGTTGAGTTGCCCTCATGCTTGGAGCTTCTCTTGGTGCAGACTGTTGCTGGAGTTAAACTTAGTGGTTTACTATGAAATTTATAGTCAGGCATAGGCTTGAGGATGACTATAAGATTAAGCTTAACTAGTGGTGCAGGCATTGCCTTAACATGCTTTTACAGATTTTACCTTTAGCTTCATTTATATCTGGGCTTTTACAAATGTTGTTGATTTAAATACAAAACATAGGCTCAGATTTGACCACAATTTAGGCTTTATGAAGAAAAAGCTTCTACAAAGTCTGAAGCTAATAGAAATCTTCCCACAACTTTTTAAGAATTCCAGTAGAATTTTTACCCAGTTTTTAAGCTCTTCTCCAGTGTTCTGTAGTTCACATACCAGAATACTGAGAAACAGAAAAGTAAAACTGATCATAAAGGAAAATGTTAACAGTTTCCAGCTGAAAATCTATCTATCTATCTCTTAAAAAATCTAAACAGCACAGAGTGTAACATAAGTGAGCTTATAAAAGTCTCCCTTCTCGTCCCACTCTTTTAATAACCTATCACATTGTTTAAACTATTTTTCCTAACCTTTTGATACAGACATAAATTTTAAGTTGACAGTATCTCTCTTATTAATGTTGAATGACTTCTGAGGATGCTATCTTATTATGTCTTATTATCTTTTTTTTGTTTGTTTTTGACTAACTGTAATGTGTATTGGTTTCTAGGTGGTTTACTATGCATTTGCTCTAATTGGAATAGTGCTGTTTAAAGGTGCTATTGTTCCTATGGGTAATATCAGGTAAGGCTTTATTTTAAACATGCTCTATTTGCAAAGGCCCCCGTGTCTTTTTTTGAAACTGCGTTGTGCATCTCCCTCCCAACCTTATGGTTGGGCTAGCAAAAGACATATACGCCCCAAAATATAATTTCCTCATATTTCCAGGACAGTCATAGCTTCAACGTCACTCACACCCACCCTTACGTGGGTGTCCTTTCTTGGTTGTTTTTTTTTTGTTTCTTATGATAATAACAGATACACTTCATTTGTAGTGGAAGAGTGCATGCTTCTGAGCATCTTGTATTTTTCCCTCCTTATTTTTAAATTCGTTCTCTCCATTCTAAGTAGTCTCTTAAATTCTGCAAACATTTTTCCTGCCAGTTGTTCTTCTAATTTCCTATCATTCCATTGAGACTCCAGGAAATTTCAATTTTGAAACTTCAAGCTCCTATGTTCTTTCTTCCTAGTGCTTTCTTTTGCCTGTTTGAAGGTACTTTACTTGATTAAAATATAGTAAATATGGAACGAAGTGCAGGAAGCTACATTAAAATTGCTCTGTAATTTCCTTGTAGTGTCGTCAATATAACATCTGGTAACAACACTCTGCAGTGTGGGACCTATGAGCAGTTGGAATATTGGCCAAACAACTTTGATGACTTTGCTGTGAGTCCAGATGTTGGGGAAACAGGCTTTCTTTTCTAAAAATGGCAAATAAGTGCTATAGCCACTCATTCTTTGTTTTAACTTTTGCTCCTTAGGCTGCACTGGTGACTCTCTGGGATGTGATGGTGGTGAATAATTGGCAAGTTTTTCTGGATGCATTTTCAAGATACTCAAGTCCGTAAGTAGTAATATTAACAACCAAAGAATTTTTCCATTCGGTATTATCATATGTCCTTCTTGGTATGTATGTATATTCTAAGTAAACGGGCAGAAATTTATATCACACATCCTGCCTTCTGGCCATAGGGATAGGTGAATCTCCTGCCTAATGATATGACATTCCCCCTCAAATCTGTAATTGAAACTTACAAGCCAAAAAGCTGTCAAACTAAGTGTAAAATGATAGTTGCAGTCCAGTTCCCAGTATATAGTACAAAACTTTTCATCGCACTTAACAACAGTTTGGAAATGGTAGTTGATGCCCCAAGATGGAAATGATTACACAATAGATTCGGAAAGGCTTCTCTCTCCTACCTGGGGTCCATCAGGGCCAAATATGACAAATTGGGGTAGATCACTGTACTGTGTCAATTCTGCATAGTCTGTGGATAAGCATTTTTTGTCTGAAGTCCTTTTGGTCTTTCTCTTGATTTAGATACAATGAGCTGCACCAGGGGGGTCTTGCTATTGTTGAAAGACCCAAGATTTTACCCCTTTTTTGAGAAGCCAGCCACTAAAATTGCATGCGTGTGTCCTGAACATGGGAAGAAGGGTTCTGATGAGGAACAGTATATTTAACTCTGCTGACTAGATGAAAGTCTGATAATTGACTTGTTGCAGACTTTATTTTTTTTTGATTTATGAAAACACTACATACCTTTTGTGTGAAAAACGTGATTTACATTCCTCAGATTTATTTTTCAGTCTCAGCCCCGGATGGAGTACATTATGAAACTAACAACAGCTCTTTACTTTTCTCTCTTCTAATATTCTTCTTTTCCAGTTGGTCAAAGCTGTATTTTGTAGCCTGGTGGCTAATTTCTTCTGTCATCTGGGTCAATCTGTTTGTAGCCTTACTTTTGGAGGTAAGCAAAGATTTCTATTTAGTTGCGCATTCATGAAGGATATGAGGATCCTTTTGTAAATCTATTGGAAGTGGAGTTTAGACCTTATGGGAAGCTGAGTCACTACTGATAAATAAATCCAAGATGTATTCAGATTTAGGAGGATCTAGCAGTTAGTTGGGTCTGTAAATAATAATTAAATTTACATAAACTTATTATAGGCTGAGGGACAACACCAAGGAGGAAAAGTGGTAATTATTATCATGAAACAGAAATGGGTTCAAACTGTTCATATACGTGTACACGAATGGCCCGTGGCACAATTCAACTGTTGTAGGCTGGAGTATGCATTTGTTGTATGGGGTGGGTTCCTTTGCCATGGTTCTCGATGTTTTGTCTAGAGCCTTGGAGACCCCAGCATACTCTTGGTGAAAGTAGGTGAGTTTTACCCTGCTGTGCCCTCACCATGGTGATGAGGGCACTGTTGCATCTGTTTAATCTTAATTGCCTGCCCAAATCAAGTGTGGCTTATATTTTCAATTTGCAGAGAGCTTTGCAAGATGTTTATTCAATTCAAAGTTCTTCTACTTACTGTGATATTATTCTTGTAAATTTTTTCAGGTCCACGCCAGGCTGGCTGGACTGGTTTTTGGATAGGTTGCCCTCAGAATATGACCAATAACTTTAAAAGGTTTTGCTGAAAGAAATGCGTATACATATTGCCATGACAAATCTGCATCCCTGCCAACAACTAGCTTCTGTGTCCTTTCTGGAAGCCTAAATATTTGCAAAATTAGACTTCGGATGGTAGGCACCACATCTGACCTTATGTGTAGGCACACTGGAGGATGGCTTAACCTTGGAAGCCAGTCCTGTAGACAAATCTATTGAGTGCTTTCCTTCAAGGTTGGAGCTTCAGTTTAGTATTATGGCTTTGACATGGGATTTTGTGGCAGAGGGCTCTTTGTTTTTGTTTCAGCTGTCTACCTTTGCAGATCTTGTGTTGTCAGTGTATATCCAAGCAAAAATCAAACCAAGGCAATTGTAACATATTCACTTTTTAAAGTATGTCAAAGGGATTGCTTTTTAGGAGGAAAAACAGTCTAGGTGAGAGTGATAGTTATGAGGAAGTTATATGGATGTTAGAGGCCAACTAGGGGCTGTGCTCGTTTTGATCTTCTGCTCACAAACCAGGAAGAATTGTTGGGCAATGTAGAAGTGGACAACAGCTTGGGCAGCAGTGACCATGGGTTGATTGGCTTCAGGATCTTGAGGAAAGGAAGGAAGGAGAGCAGCAGAGTAAGGACCCTGGACTTCAGGAAAGCAGACTTTTTGACTTTCTCAGGGAAATGATGGACAGGATCCCCTAGGATGCCAGTCTGGCGGGGACAATTAGTCCAGGAGAAGGGGTTGTACCTTAAAGAAACCTTACTGAGGGTGAAGGAATGAACCATCCTGATGCGCAGGAAGACTAGCAAGTATGGTAGAAGACCAGTTTGGCTTAGCAGGGAACTCTTCAGTGAGCTGATTATGAGCCAACCGTGGGCTCTTGTTGTAGAAAAGGTTAACAGCATACCAGGCTGCATTAGTAGAAGTGTTGCCAGCTGATCGAGGGAAGTGATTATTCCCCTCTCTTCAGCACTGATGAGGCCATGTCTGGAGTACTGTGTCCAGTTTTGGACCCTCCCATACAGAAAGGATGTGGACAGATTGGAGAGGGTCCAGCAGAGGTTCAAGGAAAATGGTTAGGAGGCTGGAGCACATGACTTGTGAGGGCAGGTTGAGGGAACTGATCTTTCTTAGTCTGGAGAAAATAAGACTGAGGGGAGATTTAATAGCAGCCTTCAACTACCTGAAGGGTGGCTACACAGTGGATGGAGCTAGATTGTTCTCAGTGGTGGTAGGTGACAGAACAAGAAGCAATAGTCTAAAGTTGAAGCAAGGGAATTTTAGGTTAGATATTAGGAAGAACTTTTTTACTAGGAGGGTAGTGAAGCACTGGAACAGGTTACCCAGAGAGGTTGTGGAATCTCCATCCTTGGAGGTTTTTAAGACCTAGCTAGACAAAGACTTGGCTGGGATGATCTAGTTGGGGATGGTCCTGCTTTGAGCAGGGGGTTGGACTAGATGACCTCCTGAGGTTTCTTCCAAGCCTAAGTTTCTATGACTATGATTTATAACCTGAGGAAGAGGTTTGTGAAGTGGTTAAGTTGAAAGGGACTTCAGGGTTCCTGGCTTTGATTTCCTCTTCCCTTGATGCCCCCCGCAGCTCCACCACACTTTCTTACTGTGTAATAATAAAGTTACTTATCCCCATCTGCCATGCAAAAATGTTAATGACCTCCTTCAGAAGTGATTTTTGATGTTTTAATTAAATCAGGTAATTGCTTTTTAGGTCAGCTGACAAAGGTGCTCTGGATGAGGGTTTTCAAGCACATGGCCTGTGGAGCCCTATCATCTAGCTCTCAGTGCTTCCTACAGGTCTTGGACTTGCCTACCACATGCACTGGCCCCCAGCCCTGTTGCACACCCTTGCTCGTGGTGTGCAAGGAAGTCTGGCACATGCTGCACAGGGCTGATCTGGGGCTGGTCTGCCCTGGGCTTTGTCTCTGGGTTCCTCTTTTGGTCCATAGGGACCAATGAGTTTAATATCCCTGCTTTAGACCAGGTGTGCACAGTATACTTGCTATGCTTGTTAGCTATGCTATGTTCTGTTTGGATTGCTTGCTGAAGTGGAAATTGGAGTTATGTCCATATAGGACACTGGATATGGCTGATCAAGGGGCCAGTTAGCTTGCCCACAGCACTGTTAGCTGTATAATGGAGGTGGGGGATAAGTGGGACATGTGCATCAGGCACCACCTCGGGGAAGGGGGCACCAGAAGGAAAGTGGAGGTGGAAGGCATTTCATCCCGAGGCTACTTGTCTTAAGTGCCTCACTGCTGGCTGCCTCTGCTTGTTGCTGGCACAGGGAACATGGTCAGAGAGCATGAGACACTCTAAGAATTGTAGTTTTATAGAGCAGCAGTAGTTTCCTAGTGCTAGGGGAGAAGCTGACCCCTAATTTTTTGCTGTTGAATTCACTATTTTTTTAATCCAGCCCTCTGGATGTGGGCTTTAGGGCAACAAAAGAGAAAGTAGGGTGAAAATGTATTTTGGCAGTTGCAAGCTCCATTGCCCGTTTAGATTCCCAGAATGCCTTGCACCTCCATTAGACTGCCTGGCTCTGCTCCCTCTGGTTAGTGTGCCTGCAGTCAAGGTGGTAGGAAAAAAAGGGGTGGAGGAGAAGGTGAGAGGTGGCTGCCCAGGGTGCATTTTCCCCATGCTACATCTCTGGCTATGCTGTTTCCAATTTAGAAGAAAGTCTGCTTTGAGCAGCATGATCTTCTTAATATGTGGTGTTGCAGCTAGGGTACAGTAAATTCATCATGTAAATTTAACATGGTCATAAAAGTGCAGAAGTGACTCTGAATTTCAGACACCTGCCCTCCCCCATCCCAGTAATTAGATTCTACCAGTAGAAGACTAAATTGGTTATCATCCATTCATAGAATCTAGTTACGGTTGGGTGGGGGTGTGAGGGTGAGGGGTCATCTCTAATTGGTTGTTTCCTTCCCTCCCCTGACTGCTGTAGCAGGGAAAGCAGTGGTGATGGGCAGGCAGTAGGTCTAGCAGCTTCACTCTTGCCCCCTGCTCCCCTTCCTTCCTCCCCCCGCCAGTGCCTGTGCACTGTAGCATCTGCCCTGCTTTATGGTGTCTGTGCCTCTGTTACTTGCCCTGTCCCCAACTCTACCAACACCTACCTGTCCAGCTCCTACTCTGGCATAGCTCTTGCCCCTCTCCAGCCCAGGGCACAGAGCACGTGGTTGTTCCAGCCCCATCCTGGCCATTCAGCCTCTGTTGTGACAGCCATAGCTTCAGCTGGGCCCCAGAGCCAGAATCTGGCTGGAGCTGCTGCCACTGCTGCTGCTACCTGGTCTGGCTGAAGCTAGAACAACCACATACTCCATGCTTCCAGCTGGAACAGAAAGGGAGCCCTGCTGGAGGGTAAGTGGTGGGGTGATGCGATGGGACCAGGCACTGGGTAGGGGTTGCAGGTGGGGGACCTAGGGGGAAATGGCACAGGGAAGAGGCGATGGGGCAGCAGGCAGCAGTTGTGGGTCTGACCCCTACCTTAGGACAGTGCTTCAGTCACAGCCATTTTTTGCTTGAATTCAAGACAAGAGGCTTTTTTCCGCATGTTAACAACCTTTTCTTGGATTTGTGTAAATACAGTGTTACACTACCCTTTATGTACTTGTAAACTCTGCATTTGCCTCCATCATTTGATTTCTGCCTGAGAAATCGTGATGAAGATTTGACAGCAAGTACATTTCTTGTTTTGAACTGACTTTGTTTTATACATACAGAATTGTTTGTAGTATAATAAACCTCAAAATGCTGAAGTGACTAAATTTTTTCTTTTTACTTCCCTTGGTCTGGCTTGGTCAAATTCCAGAACTTTATTCACAAATGGGACCGTCGCTGTCAGCAGCAGTCTCTCTCAGAAATTGAATACCAGGTGACCATGGAGTTAATGTTCAGGTGAGTTGTATTTGGTCCATTAACAAGGGGCCTGCCTTTCTAGATGGTGACTTATTTTTTAAAGGCAGTGCTCCAGATGCAAACAGGGTGAAAGGGATGCTTCAAACATAATTATGATCTTTCAGCTGTTTGCTTGAGACAGTTCTAAAACTACTGTAGGTATGCCTCCCTTCACCTGGCATAACCTCACTTTTAGGCACCTCCTGCTTGTGTGATGCTGGGAGGAGAGATGCTTGAGATGGATTACTTTGATTGGGAATGGCAAAACGAATTCATATTCTTGCTTTGTACGAAACTGTGGGTGGCAAGTTGATCATCTTGCACAAGTAGGACTTCTGGTGCATATTGAATATGCAATAGCAGCTTTGGGAGAATGTTCTCATTTTAGAAACTTTTTAAGGAAAATAAATCTATTGACCTCAGTTATGCTGTACTGTGTGCAGGAAATTGCTTCCCTGTTTCTTATGGGAAAACAGCTGCTGGTTTCCACGACACATCTGTAGAAGGATGGATCATTTGCAACTGGATGCATCATTAGGGAGCATCAACCTATTGTAACTTTAATTCTTTGCTTCGGCCTTCAAATGAGCACGTGTTGCATCTCTGCGCATTGCAAAAAAAAGTTTAAAAGTCCCCTTTGCTGCCCCAAACAACTTACGTTTTTTCTTGTGTAGGGATGTTTTGGAAGAACCTACAGAGGAAGAGCTGATGGAAAAACTGTACCAGCATCCACATCTGCAATTATGTAGATGACAGATTGGTGGGAGGACCAACTGGCACAGACTGTTCTTTTGATGAGGTGGTCAGCTAGAGGACTGTCACTGAAGAGAAACTGAATGAATTTTCTGTAGTGAAGTATCTGAAAGACTTATGGGACAGTGTTTAATGTTTTGGTTGGTATTTGCTTTTTACCTTTTAATACCACTCTGCAGGGAGACTGTTTCTCTCTTCTTTTTTTCCCCCTTCTTATTAGAGGCTTGTATCTTTTCTATTTTTTTTTTAATACTTACATTTTGCTAATTTGAGTTGATTTTAAATTGACATTTTATTGGAATATGCAACTGTTATTTTTATAAACTGTCAGGATTGGGAGAGACTGAACAGAATTTTTTTTTTTTTTTCAAAGAAGGAGAATGTTAAAATGACTGTGCACTTTAAAATGCAAAATTTGTAACCACTATGCTTGCTGCTTTTTGCACCATAAGTAATGGAATTGCCTATTCTGGCATCTGGCATGTGCCAAGGACAGTGCCTTGAAATTTATGAATGAATTGGGCAGGGTCTTTCTGTCGATTCTTAGCCATTTTGTAATAAGGGAAGTTGAAACACTATTTTTATTGAAATATGCCAGTATTATGTTATTTACTAAATCTCCTTTGTGAATTAACCACTTTTGAACACAATCACATGAAGTTTAGCTTGGAAACAATGAAAATAGTCTACTTCACACTATCCTTTTTCTTGGTCCACTGTTTGCATTTTGTCCATGTTGACTGTATCCTATTGATAAAATAGGTAAGGTCAGGATAACTTTGGAATGATCGCTTTCTTGTGTTTTTCAGCCCGGTAAAATTTAAACTCCATTGCACAGTAAATCACCTTGCCTTAATTGGAAATTGAGCTCCTCCTTTTTGCATTCCAAAGGTCTTCTTTTCTGGACTCCTGTTGTAGATACCAGTAGAAGCTTTGGCCTCTATGCTGAGACTGAGCCAGAGTTTGTTTACCTGTGCAACAACATTAGTCAAAACCTTGTGCTACATATAGCATGTATATCTGTCCTGAGCGGATTAGAAATAGGAGGTCAATGGGTATTGCTTTGAGGCTCTACCTTGAACTGGAATTGTTTACAAGGAATTGATTATTCATGATGGAACGTGAATTTTGGCCAGTACGCGGCACCAAAATCACTTTGGCCACCCTTTCTCCTTCCTCCTCCATAGTTGGCTAGGGTCAATGCAAAAAGGTGCCTGTCACCTTCCATTCTCCCTGAAGTCCATGGGTTTTTGAGGATGCTTAGCATTGTGCAAGATTATACGTGTTTGCTGATGGCTTGTGGTATACCACTAACTTTGGCTATGCACTTAATAATTTGATATAACAAATATAAATTCCAGAATTAGTTTTAAGTAGTGGTTGCACTTATTGCTCCTAACGGGGTATTTCATCTTGGATCTTCCAGGCATATAACCAACAAATTGCCTTAGGCAAGCTAAAGCATGTGGGATTGATCCTATATATTATTTAATAGTTCTGTGTGGTGATAGGACTCCCATTTGTTGAGAAATGTATGGTTAAAACAGATACTGGGACTAATCCTGTATTGACAAGGGCTTGGATGAGGTGACTGGATACTGTAAATTGTTTTGATTTTTAATTTCTCTGATTTATTTAGTCCACAAAGGATTTTAAATAGCCCCTTAGTGGCCATCCTTTTTTCGTTTGCCAGTTATTCCCTTTTCCCCAGTAGTCTGTCTTTCTTCCCCATTTTCTTTCTCGTCCTGGCAGCTAAAGTAGAAATATACTAGGCTCAATAAAGCATAGAGCTTGATAGCACATTTCTGCACCTTCAGCTTTTTAATGTTGTCTAGAAGTTGCTTTGAGGTTTTGGGGTCTGTATTGTTTTTTTGTTTTACCTGCTGTGTATGTCTTGAAAATGCCACATAACACACAGATCAAATATGACTTGAACTTTAACCCATTCAGACAATGGCTTTTTACTGCGCACTCTCACATGCCATGCCATTCTTACCTGCACTCATTTGTGTTCTTTTAGGCCAGCTACCTCATTCTCTACGTTTTCAGAAAACATCTGTTTTTACACTCTTGACCTCACTTCTGTCCACATTTCCATTCTTCAAATTAATGTGTAATGTCCTCTTTGTACCAGGTATTTCCCCAGTACTGGTTACACGTTTGTCATGGATGTTGGAGAAACTCATCCCTTGGATGTCGACACAGTGTTACTGATCTGTTTTCTAGTCCCTCTTTCAGTGCAGTTTTACGACTTGCACAATATGGTTCTTACCACTTCCATGGCAAGACTCTTAGCACATTTTAATATGTTCCACAAGTGAATGGATCACACCAGTAAGAAATTAGCTGAAATGCTTCTGGTTGGAGTTCATCAATTGCTTAAAGTAGTTCCTTTCTTTTCCCTTGATTGTTTTTGAATTCTAGATCCTTAGTAAATTATATAAATTTACCATGGCAAGTGGTGCTGCTAATTCTGGTCTTTCTCTTTTGGCTCTACAACTTTTATTTGGCCAGTGTGGTCCACTGTTTACCAAAGTAGTGTGAGTTGGTGTGGCATTTTTGTAAACAACAAACCTTCCATCTGGGCAAATGTGGAGAAACTTTTTTTAAAGAGAACAATCCATTTTTAATTTTCTATATTTATTGTTCATAGAATTGACTGCAAATGTAATCTAGAACTATGTGCAAAAATGTGGTGTCCAATATAAATTGTAACTGGCCATGTGATGTAAGTTTTATGTATAAAATGCACAAACATGGAAATAAGAGCGTATAGAAAATCAAGTAAAACTGAGGCTTACTCAATGCAAATGGTGTCTCTTTTATGCGCTCTATGGGTTGCAGTGCCTTCTGGTTGAGTGCTGAGCTGCTTCTGTCATGTGCTGAACACATGCTTCTATGAACATGTGACTTGAAGGCAAAAAGACTTTTTGGTACTTTAAAGCAGGACTTGGGCGGTAAATTTTGGACAAGATAACTAGTTCAGGTATCTTAAAATGTCTGCTTAGGCACTACTTGCCTTGTAAGTAAGCATCTATCAACACTAAAATTCCCTGAGCATCTAAAATTTGGCTTCTAGACATGTCAGAACATTGACAGTACTGAGCAGTTTGCCTTCAGTCTTGTTACTAGTTTAGGCTTAGGTACTCCAGCTGTGTTGCCTGTGGGGGCTCAGTGGAGTAGGCTACCTCTACCCTTTTGGGTTCCACACACAGTGCAGTGGTGGCTATTCCTTTCCTTCAAAATACTGCTGGAGGTGATCATGCCAGCTTCACTTTAGTGGCTGGGTAACTCCCTCAGGAAATGGGATCTCAGAGTGTAAGTCTCTCCTCTGCTGGCATATCTACCTCTCTGGAGTGTGTCCTAACCACCAGGGTATGACTGCTTTCATGTAAAATGCTCACGGTCCGTAAGTGCAGGGGATGAGGGGAGAGAGGCTCATGCTTATGCTCATGCCTGCACCCATCTCTTCTTTGGCCCCAGTTCAGCCTTTTAAGTATTCCATGCACAATGAAAGATTGCTGAAGAGGAGCAATGGAGAGAGCCCCTGTACTCCAGAAAAGATAGTGGCCTGTGGGTTATGGCACTTCATTTGTTTATTTTTTTAAAAATTATGATGGCAAAAAGGCCAAACAAACAGATGAATTGTAGCCATGATGGTGGTATCTGTTTGTGCTGCTATTTAGCCTGGAGTTGTCCGTGCTCTGCAAGTACCCCAGAACACCTGCTTGGGTTTCCTCACTCACCGAGATGCACCTATGTGATGTCCAGAGAGCAGGGAAAACTGGACAGGTGCTTCCAGTCTTGCATGGGAATTCCCAGGATGCACAGGATCAGGCTTCTCAAACCCTAGGAGAACATATCATCCTTTATCGCACCCACTGATGCTGTGGGACAAGCGGGTGACTTGTTTCACCCAGTGAAGAGGATCAGCCATGCTAAGATGCATCCCAGCACAGCTGATCTTCATTCAGTGACATATATTTTTAGTCTCAGTCTTGGGAGGTGAGAGAGAGGGGTTTGAACCTCCTAAGTCTGAGAAAAGAATTAAACCTAGGTTTCCCCACACTGGCAGAGTGCTCTAGCCACTTAGTGTGTGTGTGAAAGTAGGGATGTGCCATTCCTGCCTCCTTTTGCATTTAGAGCAAAAAAATGACTCGTGCTGTAGTTCTAAAAGAAATAATTTAGGCACCTACTTTCTGCAGCAGGTTCTGGGCTGTGAATTCTTAGCGGCAAAGAGAGGCATCCGGTAGTGCTGAGAAGTACCTAAGACGCTTTCCTTTCCTCAGTAATTCTTATCGGCCAGTCTCCGTTGCTCTGCTGAGCCAGTTGCCTAAACATAAAAAATAATGTGGGAAGAAACCATGAAGGCTTTTTTAACTTTGTGTTCCCCAACCTTTGCACAAATGTAGTATTTGTTCTTAAATTAACTTGGGCACATCCCTGTGCAAGTCTCCTCTCGAACACCTCCAATAAAGAAGATTCCACAACGTCCTTAGGTAACATGTTTCACTTTTACTGTCTTACAATTCTTGCATTTGGGAAGGTTTTTCTGAGATTTTGCTGTAGTTTTAAAAGCATTGCCCTATGTCCCACCCTTTGCTGAGAGAGAACAATGGTTTTCTGCCTTCTTTTCTGGAAGCTTTTCAAGTATGGAAAAAACTATCATGTCTTCGCTTCATTTCCTTATCTCCAACCTAGTTTCTTCAAGCTTTTCCCCCTACCGTTTGCTTTCCAACCCTCCCCCCACTTCTTTATCATCGTTGTAGCTTGTCTCTGAGCTGTCTCTAGCTTTCTCTAATCTATATCCTCTTTATTAATGTGGTGTCAAGTAGAACAGTGCTATCCCTTTTCATGTCTTGAATACAGTGCTTCTCCTAATGCAACCCAAAAATTGAATTCCCTTTTTGTAACAGCATCAGACTACTGGCATATTGCCAGTGGCTTGAAAATTTCTTTGGCACCCTGGAATGATTTGACCAGGCTGATTTGAACTTGGGTTGATTTTTGCCAAAAGTTTCCTGCTCTTTACTTATCATACTTAACTAATTCACCCTGATTTGTTTCTAGAATATTTTCTTAATTTTCTTCCATTTTTTGCCATGTGCCAAAGTCCTGTGGATCACAGCTCAAGTGCTCACATTTCCTTTGGATTAAACCTCTAGGGAATTAACCAGTAGATGCTTTGCATTAGCTATTTTAAGTTGGTCAGAGGTGGGTGATATACATAACCCTCTGGAAGAAATTACTGAGGCTTTGGAAATATGCACACCTTAACGTTGATTAATCAATGTAGTAAAATTCATTTAGGTAGTAAGAAAAGCATAATTTATTATAACACCAGAAGATTTTTTTTTTTTCTTTTGGCTTTCTAGTTACTACAGATGTTAGCTGTAAGAAAACTAAAAAAAATCGCTAAATCTTTTGCAATAAATTCATGATCCATCTGATCTTAGTGTCACTATACTGATCACTATCACCACCCCTAGACTTTTAGGAGCAAAAGGAATTGGAATCTCGATCTTTGTTTCACAAAAGCACAGTTTTTCCCTAAGATAAAGTAGAAAGTGCTTTCTTTGGCTATCTTTCAGGCTATAAGTAAGGGGTCTGATTCTTTTCAGCAGAGGGCAGAAATATATCTGTATGTGCAGATGAACAAGCATATTGGCCAATGGAAATATGTATGCAGGTGAACATGTTCAGACATGTCAATGGAGGTGGTGGTATAATCCAAGAATGCTCAACATGTAGAGGAAAAAAAAAAACTATTGGTGTAAAAGAGTGGTCTCCAACCTTTTTAAGTAGGAGAGCATCTTTGGCATTTAAAAGCAACCCAAGATCTACCATGTGCCACTGCCCCCCGCCCCATCAGGTAAGTCTGTGGGGGGAGGAGAAGATCAAGGCAGAGGGAGAAACAATTATTTGGGGACGCACCTCCCCAGCAGGTAAGTCCCACCTGGCTGGGACCCTACGACTTACCCCTGTTCCTGTGTCTGGGCACTGTCTCTCACCACGGTGGCCTCAATCTAGCATGGACTGACTTGCTGGGCTGGGGTGCATGCGTGCAGGTTGTGAGAGAAATTGTCCGTTCAGGCTCCCAATCTGGTAAGGGAACACCTGTGGACTCTCCTGACCCGAACGGGGCTCGTATCCCAGCTGAGACTCCAATAAGCGGGAGACGAGGGTGTGGTCTTTTCAGTTTATTCGGCTGAAGGTCCCCTGTCCTCGTAAGGGCAGAGAGACCCCGACTGCAACTCAACGCACATTTATAAACTTTGGTTACATAAGCCTTTCCCATAACGCATGCGCAAAACTCAGCGGAAAATTACTAAGATGGCATGACTTTGCTCACCCCACATGGTTGGGCCCAATCACCTTGCTTGTCCGTTTAGATTGACAGACCAGTGGCAATCTTAGTGCAAGGTTGCATCAGCCAGCATTGATCAAAGGTCATACAGAGGTCGCATTAATTTTCTAACAACATTTTCTAACAAGGTACTCAGCCCCTCACCCCAGCCTGGGATCAAGTCCAAGAGGCTCTGAGATCTACTGCAAGAGGCTCTGAGATGTACCGGTGGATTGAGATCCATTGGTTGGTGACCACTGGCGTAAAAGGATATGAAATGACTTAAGTGGAGAAAGCAGATGTCATGGGGGTTTTTTTTAACATCCATACGATGCTATAAGTGTAAATCATTTGAGCCTGACAAATAGCTGGCAATTGCTGCTTTTTTTTTTCTTTTTCCCAGGTATCCTTTTTTACCAGGGGCTAAACAAAAATGATTTATGTTTCTGGCTAGTTTGTGGATAACTTCCAGGTCAGGCTTGCTTATTCACACAACTGAGTGCCATCTTTTATCCTACATATACTAGAGGGTTTATCTTCCCACCTATTGATAGCTCATCTATAGTAGCAGCTATGCACTACTGTTACACTCCGAGAAGATGATAATATTGACTTCCCTATAGCTATAGTTTTATTGTTCCCCCATCTATATTTTCATTTTCTTAATAAACATAATAAAAATATATTGCATCTACTTACTCATCTGCTTCTTCCCATTGTTTCTACTTTACTGTCTGTCAGCCAGTTTATAAACCATTTTGCTGATGGGAGTTTCCTATTGATTATTAGTGGGCTTTGACTTGCAAACTTTCAGTGTACACATGTGAACTGTGGGAAGAAGAGGTCTTGGGAATTGAAGGTGGGGGAGTGAAGGGGTTTTGGACATATTTTATCTTTGAGCATCTTAAGTACTTTAGAGGAGAGGATTCATATTCCAAATGCATTAGAAGAATGGTAAAAATTGAGATGAAATTTAATAGATACTGTGCGGGCCGGGAACAATCCGAGGCCCTTTTGTGCACCGCGGGCTGTGGCCAGCAGCCCGGACACGCCGGGTAGGGGAAGGCAGGTGGCGCGCTAGAATTAGGCACGGACGCTTAATGGTTGTTTAAGATTATTTACTTACACCGAAGATGGTTGCGGTGTAGGCTGGAACGTTTCCAGGAATACTTTACATAAATCCTAGTTTAAGGACTCTGAAAGAACTCTGATTCACTCACACGAAGTTTTCGAGGCTCCATGGAACTTTTGCGCGCAGGGAAGGGTACGTCGAGGGATCGTTCGGCGACGGGGAGAAGAATCGATAGGTGATCAGTCTATCGATCAGCTAGCCGTAAGTCAAATCT